CTTGGTGTCCTGTGGCCCTTCATGGCCATGGTCAGACTTTGAGGTGAAGGGGCTGCCTCCCTGCATGTATGCCAGTGCTGTTTTGCCACTATTGGTCCTTATAGTATTTATTCAAGGCAAGGCGTATTGACGTACTTTTTTTGGTGGTGGTTATCATCTCTTAAATTTCACTGACACCCATGGACAGCCCATTGTGTAGATGAATAAACGGCTCAGAGGTTGGATTGCTTGTCTAGGGCTATGCAGCTAGGAAATAGGGGAGTCTTTTGGCCTCACAGTCTCCTTACGAGGGGACCCCTGGACCTCTGGTGCTGACTTCTGTGGTTCTGGTCTGTGCAATAAGGATGAGAGGGAGGGCCCAGGCCAAGTGGAGCCCTTTCTGTGAGGTTGCTGATGAAGAAAGAAATTGAGCTTCCATAGGAGGCAGAGCTGCTTGGTTCACTGACCCTCTCCTTCAGTGTAAAGTGTTTCGAGCCAGGGAGGAGGTGTCCAGGAGCCAGTGTTGGGCTCCTTAGGGTCACTGGAGCCAGGAATACTCCCTCTGCACTGGCTGCCTGCCTCTACTTTTCGGGGTCTGGCATTGGGGTCTGACCTGCATGACCTTGTTGAATCCAGGTGCCTCTCACAGGTGTTTATGGAGCACAGACTATTCTTAGTGTCTGGAAGTGGCTGAGAATAGGTCAGTGCCTCCTCGGGAGCTATCTGAAGGCCTGAAGAGGTGGGGCTGTAGGGGGAGTGTGTTCCAGGCAGTGGGAACAGCATGTGCAAAGGTTTTTCCTACAGTTGCACAACAGCTTTGCTTTTCCCATACAACAGATGGGGACTGTTGCCAGAGCTGTACTTTCCTGATGGCTCTGGGCACCAGTGCTGGCTTGGAACAGGTACTTAGAAAACAGGTACCCCTCTTCCTCCCACTCCTACCTTGGTCAGTTATATCTTCATTACCACGAAGATAGTTAAGACTGCTGGCCCTGCTGCTTGCCAGTGGCTCCTGGTGTTTCACTCAGACTGGAGAAGGCTGAAGCCTAGCCTCATGCTGCTCCTGCAGGGTGGGACATGGCCCCACCCCTTGTCCTGGTCCCCGGCCTGCCATGTCCTGACCTCTGTTGCCACTGAGTTGCTGTTGGCTGGGCCCGGGAATCTGGGGCCTCTGGGTGAGAATTCCTCCCAGGCTAGTGGAACTGTCATCACAGAACCACCCTCTGGCACTCTGTGCCAGGGCTCCTGCTCTGTCCTTGTCCTTTGTCCATTGTGCCTGAGGCCATGGGGCCACACCCTCCTGCTTGGGGCCAGAGCTGGGAGCTTGGGTCAGTCCTTGCATTCAACTAGCTCCCTCTCTTCCCCACCCCTTACCTCCTGCCCCAGGTTCCCTCTGAAGGGCCAGTGTGCCTCCCTTCTCTTGGCCTTCTTCCCAGGGGAGGGCGCCTGGATCTGCTGCCTCCCTTTCTCCCCCGCCTGGGACTCTGCACAGTAGCTGCCTTTACTTCTGACCCCAGTTCTCAGGCCCAGAGCATGGAGTGAGGGTGGCAGTAGGGTGGAAAGCTCAGGAGCTAAAGACTGGGATGCATAGGACAGTCCCCCACATTTAGGTCCCTTTTGGTGGCAGTGGGGAACTTCTGCTGTTCCTGCCTGGGAACCTTTTTTTTTTTGGATGGGTAATTGGGATCTGTTTGTTAGCTCCTCCTTTCAAGATTTATTTATTTATACAAGCACTGGGTATAGTCAGAAGCACGGGAGGGTGAGAGAATTCAACAGAGCCAGAGTGGGGAGAACAGAACAGGCAGACTGATGAAACACACTGCTGAGGGGAACAGCAGGCGGCAGGAGAGGTCTGCGCGCCATGTGGGACCCTCGCCCTGAGTCCGGGGATCGAACTGGCACTGCAGAGGCTGCAGGCAGCTTCTCAACCCAGCGCTCAACCGCTGCGCCACCGGGGAGGCCCCAGCTCCTCCTTTTAAAGAATACTTTTTGAGGTGAGAGTCACATAAAATTCACCATTTAAAAGTAGTTAGTGGTATTTAGTACCTTCATCCTGTTGTGCAATAATCACCTCTCTCTAGTTCCACAATTTTTTCATCACCCCAAAGGGGGACCAGGTCCCCAATAGCTGACATTCCTATTCTCCCTCCCCAAGCTCTGATACCCACCAGTCAGTCTCTGCTTTTTGTCTCCTTGGATTTACATATTCTGAACATTTCACACAAATAGGCGACCCTTTGTGTCTGACCTTTTTCACCTAGCTTAACTTTCATTTCACTTTTTTATTTTGAAAGAATTAGAGGCAGGGCCTCCCTGGTGGTGCAAGGGGTTAAGACGCAGCACTATGAAGGTAGCAGCAGCCACTGAACTGCGGGTTCAATCCCCCACCAGGGAGGTGGCCCATGGCACAGCGGGCCTCTCCTGACTCTCCCCTCAGCAGCGTATTTTGGTCAGTCTGCCTGTTCTGTTCCCCACTCTGAATCCTCTCACCCCCCCATGCCACTGGCCTGTACCCCAGTTTTTGTATGCATAAATAAATAAATCTTAAAAAAAAAATTACAGAGGCATAGGGAGTTGCATAAAAGCACAGAGAGTTCCTGAGTACACGCCCCCCTCCCCAGGACCTTCTGATCTTTTGTGTGAAGATGGCTGCTGGGTCCCTGAATTTGGGGAGAGGAAGGGAGGAAGGAGTAGCCATTCCAGAGGGGCCCACCGTCACCCCGTTGCTTCATGACTGAGCTGGCACTGCCCCCATGCAGCAAGCCCTTGGGAGCAGCCTTTCAGGCTGGGCTTACCTCTGAGGGTACTGGCTGCTCCTCTCCTGGCACAGCATTGGCTGGGGTGTGTTAGTGGCAGCTGGGAGCTTGTCCCCTCTTGGTCACCCCCTCCTGCTGCCTAGCTTCTGAGCTTGTCTCCCTCCTGGCCGCCCAGCTTCTCTCCCAACAGCGAGTTGGGGCCCCAACGGCTGTATTCGCCTCTTGGGCCCTGGTCTGGTGCCCGAGTAGGGGGAGAGAGGTAGGATTTCAGCCCTCCCCTAGCAGCTGGCCAGCAGGGTGAGGGGCTGGTTGTATTTTAAGCTGTTGAGTGGTTCAGCAGGAACTTGGAGGCCTTGTCTCCTAGTAGATGCAGTGCTGCCTTCCTGCAGGTCATTTGGGCTCCGAAGGCATGTGGGCATTGCTTGTCTGGGACCCAGGAACTATTTATATACCTGCAGCCATCGAGCAGGACCACACCCTCTGGGGCCTGCTATTCTAGTCCTTTCTGGTGCATTTCTTCATGCTTCCTTTCCCTCTCCCTGGAGTCCCTTGGTGGGACCCAATTCTTGAACAGTATGACCAGCTCCCTCTTTTTGACCAGTCTGGTCTTGTTACCAGTATGACTAGCTCCCTCTTTTTGACCCATCTGGTCTTGTTACTCCTGTGACTTGTGGGGTTCAGTAACCTCCCCCCACCATACCACACTCTGGGCAGAGCTTGGGGTTGATAATTTTCTCTCTAGTGCTGTGACAACAGGTAGCATTGGATGCATGGTCCTCCCTTATGTCCGTGATGTACCCCTGAATTCAGGCTCAGAGAGAAGTGATTCCATGGAGACCACTAAATCCCCTGCCTCTCCTGCTGTCATGGAGGTATATGTGAGGGGAACCCCTTTCTCCAGTGGGGTTCAGGCTGTGGTAACTCATCTCCTGGGCCCTGCATGGATGGTTGTGTTCTCAAGAGAGCCCTGGTGGGGGCTCTGCCTGCCCTGGGGGTTTGTGCTCTGCTCCTTTTCCCCACACTGCCTCTGACTGAGGGCCCACCAGGAGCAGAAAGTGTCCTCAGCTGGTTAGGGTCAAACCTAGTCCTGCCTGCTGTGGCCCATGTCTATAATAGGACATGTGCCAGGGAGCTCTGGGGCCTTTCATGGTTGGCTTGATATGGGCACAGCTAGGTTCTCTCCAGCTCCTCGAACTGTTTGCCCCATCTTCTCTCTCTGGCTTCTGCCCTCTCCCTGTCCCTCTCCCTCCCTCCCTCCCAGCACTGCTCTTCCTTACTGCCACTGTCTGACCAATTGACAGGGGATTTAGGGGGACAAGACAGCCTGGCAACTCAAGGGTTCAGAGGTGTAGGGAGGTGGGGGTATGTGCTTAGGGCTTGGATGGGGTGCTGTGTTGGGCTGACAGGTAGGAAGATGGCCTTGAACAGGCCTGGGTGGGAAATGGAGAAGCAAATCTGAGAGGTGGGGCTGAAGCCCCATCAGCCCAGCCTTGGGGCACATGCTGGAACTCCTAGTTTCCTGACCTTTTCCACACTTAGAGAGAGGCTCTCTGCACCAATAACTCTGGAATTTGTCACCTCCCTGGGAACACACATGCACAAGGAAAATAATCCAGAGTGTCTCTTACGGCTCAGAAGGGGAAATGGATGATCTATCTTACGGATTGTCAAAATAGCTGGGGTTTTTCCAAGCCCAGTGAACTCTGAGGACCTGAGCTGTGGCCTGGGCTGCTGGTTGGCCTCTTCTTGCACGGGTGGGGGCTTAGGAAGCACCTCCATGTCTGCCTCTGGGGTCTTATTAACACTTAGTGCTGTTGGGGGTATATGTCCACTTAAAAGTCATTTTCAGGGCAACTTAGGCCTCCATCTACATCCCCTTCCCTTCACTCCCCGCCCCCAGGTCTATGTGTGGCTCCTGGGGGCTCAGTCTAGGGCAGTTTTATATTTAGCCAGGCCATGGCTGTGGGGCCACTCAGGTTACATCTGCACAGAAGCTGGCAGTGCCAGGGCAGTGTGGGCACCTTTCCAGCACCGCGGCAGAATTTGATCTTGCCTGCCTGGCCCAGAGCTGCCCCGTGGTGGGGGCTGACGGCCGGCAGCTGGGGCTGCTGGCTGGGGCAGGCAGAGCGGTGCGGCATGGACCTGAGCATGAGCGTGGTGGCCCGGGAGGCCAGCCAGGGGCTTAGCCCTGGCCTCAATGGCCTCCCCCGGCCTGTACCCCCCAAGATAGCAAAGAAACCCAAAAAGGCTGTTCTCTTCTTTGAGGTGGAGATTCTGGATGGGAAGACACGGGAGAAGCTGTGCTTCCTGGACAAGGTAGGACTGGCCTCAGCTCGGGTTCCACTAGGCCAAGGGCATTAGGCCTAGGATACTGCTACTTCTGGGGGCTTCTAGCCTGGGGAGATGGGAGTGCTCCACCAAACTATGTTTTGGTGCCCTACCTGCTGCCATTTGTAGGGGGTGCACAAAGGGTTCAGTTTCTGGGCTTGCCCTAACCAGCGTAGGGCAGTGGTCAGTCCTAGGCCCTGGTTGTGGCTAGGAGTTGGCCTTCTGCTGGGAGAAGTGGTGAAGTAGCCTCAGTGGATCCTGCAGCCTCTAGGGTTTGGGAAGAGAGGTGGAGTTCTGAGACCTGCCCCCCTACTGAGGCAAGACCTGATGTTAAGGGATATGTCCCTGGGGAGAGCTTTATTCTGGGGGGAGCTGTAGATGTGGGTGGGAGGGCAGGCAGAGCATCAGGCTTAGTTCCCATGCTTACAGCATCTCCTGGCCAGGCTGGGATGTCCTGACCAGCTGTTAAAACTGGGCCCTAATTTCTTGGTAGGGCTCTTGGATTCTTGGTCACATGGCTAGGGGCCTGGTCCCTAACCCTCCTTTCTCCCAGAGCAGTCCCCAGGTCCCTAGTCCATCCCCCTTACCAGGAGGGAGCCTGGATCTTGGGTCTGTACTCACATTCATGTCCCTGTGGCCTGTGTTTTCCCAGGTGGAACCCCACGCCACCATCGCCGAGATTAAGAACCTTTTCACCAAGAGCCGTAAGTCCAGGGCCCAGCCACACTGCTCCCAGGCGGGACCCAGTCCTGTGTGCCTCTCCTTGAGGGGCCTGCAGAGATGCTGCCAGTGTGGCCCAGGCCTTTCTGGGTTTGCCTAGGGCAGGCACCCCCAGCATTGTCATCAGCAGAAACGCCCTTGCTGTGCTCTGGGAAGGACATTCCGCCTCTGCCTGTGCTCTTCCGGCTGTGGCTTCTGTCCGTGAGCCTTATAGGGCTTAGAGGTCTTGCCCAGGGGGCAGGAGGAACTGGGGGGGTCCCTGGCCCCTTCAGTCTGTGCATTTGACACCTGTTCTCCCTGCAGATCCGCAGTGGTACCCTGCCCGCCAGTCCCTCCGCCTGGACCCCAGTGAGTACTTCTCTGCTCACTCTGTTCCCTTGGGTGGGGGCTGGTCTGGCGGCCCCTGAGCCCTGGCCTGCCTTTCCACAGAGGGCAAGTCCTTAAAGGATGAGGATGTTCTACAGAAGCTGCCTGTGGGCACCACAGCCACACTCTACTTTCGTGACTTGGGGGCCCAGATCAGCTGGGTGACGGTGAGTTCCAGCTGCCCACCCCAGTGGCCTCCTCCTTAGTCTGCCCCTTGGACTCATGCACCTGCCCCCCATGCCCCAGGTCTTCCTGACGGAGTACGCAGGGCCACTTTTCATCTACCTGCTCTTTTACTTCCGGGTGCCCTTCATCTATGGCCACAAATACGACTTCACGTCCAGTCGACACACAGTGGTGCAGTGAGTGGGTGCCGGAGCTGGGGTGGGGGCACCTGGGGGTAGGGCCTTGCAGATGCCTCTCCCTTGCTTAACCTGCTCCCTCCACAGCCTTGCCTGCATCTGCCATTCATTCCACTATATCAAGCGCCTGCTGGAGACGCTCTTTGTTCACCGCTTCTCCCATGGCACCATGCCGCTGCGCAACATCTTCAAGGTGAGCCCGGGCCCCCACCTCTGCCTGTCCACACCATTGTAGCTCTCCTTGCCCCTATCCTTCCACCCTTCTGGGCCAGGCCCCATCTCTGCCCTGCTTTTTCAGAATTGCACCTACTACTGGGGCTTTGCCGCGTGGATGGCTTATTACATCAACCACCCTCTCTACACACCCCCTAGTAAGTGGCCTTTGACCCTGTTCCTCCTGTCTGAGCCCCCGCTCAGGCTGTCCTCCCATGGACCACCCTTCTCTGCTTTCTCTTCAGCCTACGGAGCCCAGCAGGTTAAACTGGCGCTGGCCATCTTTGTGGTGAGCTGTCTGGGGTGCGTGACAGGGAGGGGGGAGTCTGAGGGGACCTAGGCTGACCCCACTCTCCTGACAGATCTGCCAGCTTGGCAACTTCTCCATCCACATGGCACTGCGTGACCTGCGGCCAGCTGGTGAGTAGCTGGCTGGGACAGGGGAGGGTTAGGCTTTTCTAGGGTCCTTCTTACCTTTCTCTCCTGTCCACCAGGATCTAAGACCAGGAAGATCCCTTATCCTACCAAGAACCCCTTCACGTGGCTCTTTCTGCTGGTGTCCTGCCCCAACTACACCTATGAGGTGAGGGTCTGTCTGCCTTGCTCATCTCCTCTCCCCTCCTGGTTTGTGGAGGCCCTTAGTGGGGTGCCAGGCTTGGCAGCTGCTTTTACAGTTTGAACTTGGAGCCTTTGCAGATGGAGGCTACAGCCTCTCCAGGGGCTGGAGGGTGTGTATGGCTGGCTCGTGTTGTCAGGGCTGAGGGGCAGCTTCATCGTGTAGCCTTGGGGGTGGTGAGGTCTTCACAGAACCACCGGCCCTGCCTGCCCTCACCCTGCTGTCTGCCCATAGGTAGGGTCCTGGATCGGCTTTGCCATCATGACACAGTGTCTCCCAGGTGAGCCCACTGCCCTGCTCCCCGCGTCCCTGTTCTCCCGGCCTCCTTCCCTGACACTTCTTCTCTCCCCAGTGGCGCTCTTCTCCCTGGTGGGCTTCACTCAGATGACCATCTGGGCCAAGGGCAAGCACCGCAGCTACTTGAAGGAGTTCCGTGACTACCCACCCCTGCGCATGCCCATCATCCCCTTCCTGCTCTGAGTCACTTACCCCACCTGCGCTGGCCACGCTAGGCTCTTGTCCCTCCACCCCAGTGTCATTCTGGAGGAGGATGGGGGCACTCTTAGCACCTGGAATAAAACCTGACGTCTCCAGCCAGACTCAAGACTCTGCGTATTTCTTTAGGGTTTGGGGGCCAGCACACCATAGGAAGAGGCAGGGGTCGGGCTGAGGGCCTGAAAGCGTTTATTTCTGACACAGGGTAGTGGTGGGTCCACTACAAGGCTACCTCCGGGGCCACCTCGCCAGTGCCCTGGCCCCTGGCCAGGTTCGCTTCCCTCTGCTCTCGCCGCTGCTTACGCTGGAGTAGTCGCCGCTCCCGCTCAAACTCCTTCATGCGCTTCACATAGCTGTGGGCAGAGCAGAAGGGGCATCAGGCTTAGGCTCCCTGGCTAGGCCCTCCCATAGTCCTGAAGCTAAGGGGACGCTAACAGGTGTCTGGGAGTACTCTGGGGAGGTCTCTAAGTGGGGACTGGAGTTGGGTGGCCCAAGCAGGTACCCCTGGTGGACCCCAGCGAGCCCTGGCAGAGGCTGGCCTTCCCTCTGGAACCCTGGCCTGGCCACTTTTCCATGTAGCCTCAAAGTCACGCTACTTGCACCCCTCCCCCGCCCCTCAAAAGGCCCTTTGGGTTTCCTTTTCACACTAAGGGGAGGGAGTCTGGCCAGAAGCCTTGACACTAGTTACTGCTGTCCCACAGTTGAGTGGCTTACTCAAGGTGCTCGCAGTAGTCCCAGTCGTGCTGCTCATGCTTGCAGGCCAGGAAGTTGGGGAAGCTGTCACGCTTGCATTTGAGCAGCCGGATGAGGTAGTGGGCACAGTAATCCCGTTGCTGGAGCACCAGCTGTGCGTCGTTCATCTCCTGCTGTGTGGCTACCATCTCTGCAGGAGGTGGGTGAGGGGCTCAGCCTACCTGCCAGGGCCCTGGGTACCCCTAATCCAGAGAAACCAGCTCAGGGGCCCTGTGGGTACCAGTCACCCTGACAGGTAGAGCGTCTTGAGAAGCAGGCTTCTCTAATTTGCAAAAGAGTGACTCTGACAGGGGAAGAGTCCCTCTCTTCCCCATCGCCCTGGGTTCCTCAACATCAATCCCTCCTCCCCCATCATTCCCCAGACAGCCCAAGCCTGTGCTTAGAGATCATATTCTTCTAGCACTGGGGCCTGGATGCCAGCTTGGCTCTTGCTGGTCAGTGGTGTGGCCTCGTGGACCCTATGGACTCTCAACCTCTACTCCAAAGCCAACCAAGTGAGCCTTTAGTAAACTAACAGAAGTGAAGCGGCCCAGGGCTTTAAGGAGGGCTGGAGCAGCCCTTGGTCCTGGTGCTCCAGCCACCTTCAAAACCCCAGCCCAGAAGAAAGCATCATGGGCACACAACTCAGCCCATGCCCCGTGCCTGGCTATCCTGCACCTCCCTGGCTTCTCTCTACCCAGCATGGATACTCAGGCTCTAGTCTTTCTCCAACCTCAGGTGCCCTCCCTTCCCCGATGGCCACCTGGTCCCCATCCCTTTCCATCAGTATCAAAGAGTCATGTCTCACGGCACCCTCCCTGGCTGTTTTCCTGCTTTCCAGCACATCTTTGTCCTACTTGGCCCCGGGCTTCATCTGCCCCCACATCCCATTCCCTTCTCTAGCTTCTACGCTCTACCCCAGTAGAAGTAGAGCCACAAAAGATCCCAGGACACCTTGCTTCTTTAGCCTCTTGCTTGCTTTTCTCTTGAATGTTCTCTTCCCTAGCTCTCCCTGCACCACACCTTCCCTGGTTTCCTGTCATATCTATGGCTGCCCAACACTTAAGTGCCAGCTTTCTAGGACTCTTGTGCTGAGAGACTTCTGCTCATTCTACTCCATGGCTGTAGTCACTCCACAGACTGATGAGCCCCAGCCTGGCCATCCCCACCCTCAACTCATCTAAGCCCCAGGCGTGCGTATCCACTGTAGCTTACCACCGCCCTTCCACCCCCGCCCCAGCTGGTTTCATGGCATTGTGACCAGAAGCAGAGATTTACAGAGCACCAAGTGTGTGCCAGGCATTGGGGATATAGTAGAAAACAAGGATAGACACAGAAAAAACTTGCTGGAGACACAGAACAAACAGTGATAGAGGGTTGTAGGATGTTTGGCAATGCTGAATAATAGGGGGAAAAAGTAAGGGAGAGAAACAGGCAATATTGGGAGGTGGGTTACAACTTTAGACGGAGGGGTCTTTCAGAAGGTGGCAACTGAAGGCGAGGCAGTGAGTCACAGACACCTGGAAAAGAGCTGCCTAGATAGCAGAATAGCCTGCACACAGGCCTTGGGGAGAGAGGACAGGCAACAGGATGCCCTGAGGATTTGGACAAGAGCACATGGAAGGGTGGCTGGAAGAAAGCGCAGGCTTGGTGGGGAGGGCAGAAGCTCTGTTTTGGACTTGATGAATGTGACATGCCCATTAACATTGTGCAGAGATGTCAAGCAGGCCATGGGGTTCATGTTTGGGGTTCAGGGTTAGGGCCTGGCTGAAGATAAAAACTTGGGAGCACTGGCTTACAAGGTATTTGGAGCCAGGTGACAAGATGAGACCCTCAAGGTAATGGGTGAGTCACTGAAGGAGCACTCAATGGGGTGGGCCGAAGTGTTGGCTCTTGGGAGTGAGATGAAGAGGTGCTTCCAGGAAGTTGGTAGTGATCCACTGTTGCAGCAGGCGGTGAATTAGAACTGAGGGTTCACAATGGGGTTTGGGGTTATAGACATGGGGAAGGGGGAGTTTGACAAGAGCCCCATCAGCGAAATGGTAGGAAGATGGCTGGAAGGTGATTTTAAAACGGTAGAGATAACTATTTACAAGTTGATGGGAAAATCTATGTTGCAAGAGAGAGGGTAACCATTTAGGGCAATGTCATTGGATGGAGGGCACAGGGAGTTCTTCCAGATCAAGGGCACATCTGACAGGGTCCTAGGCCACACAGGATGAGTATGCATGAGAGCTCTTTTGAGTGCTTCACTTTTCTTAAGAGGATGCAAAATAACCAACTGAAGAAGCATTAAGGAAATCCTGGCTTCTGAGAGAGAAGATATACTGGAGGGTGGTCTAGGAAAGCATGAAAGGATAGGAAATGTAACAGGAAAGCCAGCAGCACAAAGGGCCAACTGGAGGAGTCACTGGGAGGCCAGTCAACCAGGCTAGGTGTTTTTCTCCAACGACGTTCAGCTGCATAGGCACCAAAGAGGAGGAAAGCTTGATTAAACCAGGGTTTTGGCTTAGGCAAATAAGAGACAGGAGCAGGGAGTTGTGGGGGTTTGCAAAACTGATTGTGGGAAAACAAGTTATGAGGGGCAGTGGTAAGAATTAACCTGGTTGAGGGGGAGAGTGGATGGATGGACTACTAGGAATCAGGAAAATGAGCCCACCTCCCAACTTCTCAAATACAGACCTCACCCCAGTTTAGAGGTCTCCCAAGCTCTCACCCATCCAGCAGCCAGCATGACCCTTTGACAAAGCAAGTGTGACTGTGTCCCTCCTCTGCTTAGAAGCACTGGCTCTCCCCTCTCCTTGGTCTCTGTCTGGCCAACTCCTACTCATCTCGCGTGCCCCGGGCTCCCAGGTGCCGCCTCCACGATCTTTCTGGTCCCACTGTCTCCCCCTGCGAGTTCGCTTCAATCAGTGCCTATTCCATGAGCCGCGCCCCAACTGGGATTTGGCCCGGGGCTGTGTTACTACATACAAAAAAGCAACGTGCGGGACTGTACGTGAGGCACGAGTACCGGTTGTTTTTCCTGCGCATACCTAAAACAGTAGTGCTACCTGCACGGGGGTACAACGAACACGCCCCCTCCGTGAGAAACCCTCTCAGGGCTCTCGACTGAGCTCAGCTTCGAGCACCTCATTAGCTCCATATCGCGGGGCCTTTGCTCATATCATGCCTCTACCTGCGATGTTGCTACACTCAGGCGGGGTCACATTCGCCCCCAGGAACTCCCCCGCGCCCAGGTGGGAGCTAAGTCCAGTCCCGAGGACCCTGGGGTTCGGGGGCTGCGCCTCGCGCCACCGCTCCAGCCAGCCCGCGGGCGTCCTGGGACTCACCGCGCTCCCTGCGCCCCGGGAAGCCGTAGTCGGGAGGGAAGGTAGGCATCCGCAGGGGATCGGGTTCCCCCGACCCATCGCTCAGATAACGCCTGCCCAGGTGCGCCCCCATGGCAGCTGTCGCCGCGGGTTTCCGCCGCAGCTCGGGGTCACCCCGCTCCTACCCGGAAGCACTTCCCTTCTCCAGTCACGCCTTCCGGGTCGCGCAGGCCGCCGCGGGGGCCATAGAGACGAACGCCCCCGGAGGCTTTCTGATATCTTTGGTGCCACCTTGAGGCCTGGAGGAGACAGTGTCCTCTGGGTAGACACCAGGCCTCCCCTCCCTGCCTCAGGCCTCTGAAATTCCAGTTGCACAGAAGTGGTGGGGGATGATGTAGTCCTGGGGCCCACCTCCGTCTTTCCTGGGCGCCCCACGACTCCCCAGGCTAGAGCACAAAGGAAACCTCCTTTTCATGTCTTATTTCAAAAAAAATTGTTTTTTTCTCTACTCAAACATTTGAAATTGTCTTAGCCCTCCCTTTCCCAATATGGATGATATAATTACTGAATATCAAAAGTTTAAATAAAATTATTCAAAATAAGTATTTTAATTAAACTTAAATAGGCAAATAAAGTTACTCATAAATAAAACTATTTAAAGTTAATTTTTAAAACAATTCCTATTCAATGTTTTTATAAAAATAGAGCAAGTTGCAATTCTAGCATCCTAGTTACCACTGTAAAGAACTGCTATTATATTTCACACCTGTTATATTAGGGCTTAACATATGCAAATTCAGAGTATAATACATTGTTTAATACTTCCAGATACCTCTTGGACTTAATGTGCAACAGTAACAAATTCTATGCCAATTTGTTACTCTGTGGAATCCTGCATTGGAACACAAAGAGAGACCTTGGCAATGCGAGGAAATGATGCTTGTTAATGAAGGAATAGACTTCATTAGACAAGATGTTGTGGTTGATTTGTTCCCCTTCTCCTCCAGCCCCAAATACATGTTGAACTCCTGACTTCTGAAAGTCGGGACCTTATTTGAAAATGGGGTCTTTGCAGATGTAATCAAAATGAGGTCATACTGAATTCAGGTGGGTCCTAATTCAGTGACTACTGTCTTTGTAAAAGGAGAGACATTTGGACACAGACACCCACACAAGAAGAAGGCAGACAGTTTATGAAGGAAAAGATTGGAGTGATGCAGCCACAAGTCGAGGAATACATGGAGGCATCAGAAGCTGGAGAAACAAAATCTCCTTTTGAGCCTTTGGAGGAGGGAGTGTGGCTTTGTTGACACCTTGATATCAGACTTCTGATCTCGAGCTCTGAGAGAATAAATTCCTGGTGTGTTACCTACCCAATTTGTGGTCATTTGTTGTGGCAATACTGGGAAATGAATACACCACATTTAGTGGTTAACCCTCAAGTTTGTCTTTAGATGTGTCCTCTGTCCAGAATTACAGATGCATGTATGTCTGCAGCTACCCACTGGGCACTGCCATATGGGCATCTCACACTTCACATTCCATCTCAGTCTGTTCAGGCTGCTACAACAAAATACTGTAGGCTGGGGGTGACTTATAAACAACAGAAATTTATTTCTCACAATTGTGATGGCTGCATGCCCGCATTGTCATGTTTGGTGAGAGCTGTGTTCTGAGTTGTAGATGATTTCCATCTGCTTGTAGGAAGGAAGATGAGCTACCTCCCATGTCTCTCTCTCTCTCTCTCTTTTTTTTTTATAAAGGCACTGATTGCATTCACCAGGGCTCCACTCTAGTGACCTAGTTATTTCCCACCCCTCTCCTGCCTGCCTCCTCAGCTCCATATACAGGGATATTTCATTTTTTTGTGCTTATTTACTCTACTTTACAAATTTTGCTTTTTAACCCTTTGCACTCCAAACCATTTTACGATATTTTGATTTAATTTCTTGTGCCATTTCAAGATAAAACTTCAGGGAAACATGCATGTCTCAAAAAGTTGCGTTGAAATAACCTCAATTCCCCATAATCACTAATAAATTGCAATGTCCCCTGAGAGGGGACATCCGAGTGATATGCTAGAATTCCGATATCCCCTGAGAGGGGACAGCGGAGTGCAAAGGGTTTTAAAAATCGAAGGTTTGTAGCAACTCTGAGTGGGGCAAGTCTATTTGCACCACATTTCCAACAGCATCTGCTGTTCTCTCTCTGTGTCACATTTAATTACTTTTTTATTTTTATTTTTTCCCTTTTTTATTTAAGTATCTTGTTAGCAATGCAATAGCATCGTTAACAGAACAACCATTTACAGAGTAACTAAAAAACCAGCCTTCTAAGAAAATAATGTAGTATCAACCACTACCAGAATAAAAAGGTCCTCTTTTTTGATTTTACTGGCAAGCCCAGGTTTATCCTGAACTCTGAGAGACTCCCTGTCCTGAATGGACAATGAAACATTCAAGTAAAAGTTAAGGAATTATTAGTATGAGTTTCTGAGGGATACTGCCTCAAAAGACATTCAGGAGTGGCCACAGTCCTCCAGTTTACTCCAATGTTGGCACATTTCTGGGAAGAGCAGCATAGTTCCTTCCAAGGAGTTTTGACAATTCATCAGTCTCAGGATTCATGTCTTATAAAATATTCTTCCACATTAAAGAAAACTGTCCCACAGGAACAAATATTTCATCGCTTCTGCAGCTTCTTGTACTTGGCTTCCAGTTTTTTTGAATACGCATCCAACTTGTAGGCTGCCTGCTCAAGAGCTGCTATCTGCTCCTCAATTACATTGATTTGATCCAGATAAGGCTGCAATCCAGCATACTTCTGGTTTAAGTCCTTTAAGTTTCGACTAATGTTTATAGCAATATCTTTCATTTCAAGATACTTCAGGGTGGTTAGTTTATTCATATTTTCCAGGAGTTTATAGTCTTCACTAGTGGTCGTCAGTAAGTGGCCCCGGTCAGGTAAGTTGCCATTTTGGAGAACATGTCCCGGCAGAGTTCATTGATGTCAGCCTCTTCAGGCTCCTTCCTCAGCTGTCTCCACCGCGGCATCGTCTCGAACAGGCTCCTCTCGCAGAGGGGCGGGGACACCCTCCGCAGCCGCCGCCATGCCGGACCAGCGCCTAATTACTTTTTTAGACATATACGTTTTGTATACTTTTTTAGACATAATGCTATTGTACACTTAGATCATAGAATAAGGTAAACATAACTCTTACAGTCTCTAGGAAACCAAAAATCTCTGATTGCTTTATTACAGTATTTGCTTTATTGCAGTTCCTATGGAATTGAAGCCACAATATCTCATGGCAGTGCCTGTATTATCATATTGACAATTATATTGCAACTTTTTTTTTTTTTTTGGTGGAGGGGAGACACAAGCATTTAGCCTACAACACATATTCAGATCACATTCTTGATTTCTCTTGGCTGTTTCTTTTTCAATACTTGGTCTCCCCTCTGTCTTCATGTCTTTGGCAATGACTGCTCCATTATTCCAGGTGCTCAGACTCCAAACCTTGGAGTCATGCTTGAGTTTTGTCTTTCTCTCATCCCAGACACGCTATCTGTTGGCAAATTCATTGACTCCACCATTGAAATCTATCAAGAACATGGTCCCTCCCCACTCTCTCTATGGCCACCAGGCCAGGCCAAGGCACCATCACTTCTACCCGATATGACTGCACAGCCTGTCCTCACTTCCCCTAATTTTCTTTCTCAGGCTGCACTTAACAAAACAGAAACCAGATGTCATTTTGTTGCTGCTGAGACCCTTTCATGGCTCCCTAAAGCCAAACACCCAGTCTTTTACTCCACTGTAGGAGGGCTGTGGTGGGACCCTAGAATCTGCCTTTCTAACAAGTTCCCAGGTGGTGGTGGCAGTGCTACAGGGCAGGGAGAAGGGCTTCTCAGAACCCCCAAACCTGTTCATACTAAATAGTTTCTGCCATCCTCTGCATCAAGACAAAACATATTCTGGTGAGTAAGACTTTTAATGGAAAGAAACTTTAATACACTTAGTGTGCAACAAAGAAAAGACAAAGAATATAGGTTCCAAATCCAACACCCGAAGTTACCCATTGCCTTGCAGGTAAATGCCCAGCCAAACAGGGTTTGCCCAGAGCAAGGCCTGAAAGCCTGCCGTAAGTCTAAAACACATTCGGGAAGGGACCCATAGAAAAGGGTCAGAAACAGCCAGACAAGTCCGGGAGGAAAAGAGCAAAATCAAAATCAAAATAAAAGCTGCCATTGTTAACTCCCCACAGGTCTCTCACCCACATCTGTTTCAACCAGCCCAGGACCAAGAAACAAACACAGCTTCTTCACATGTTTCTCTAATCCATGTGCCTCCTCCAGGTCTCCTTCTGGCTCCCCATCCTGCTTCCTCCTCCCATTCTCCTCTCCAGCTCCATGTCTTCCCTGCTTAGCTCACCCTACCTTGGGTGGGGCCAGGAACCTGGCACCTCACGTTTTCTTGGGGATCACCCTGTTTCAATAGTACTGATCTGGAGACCACCCTTGGGAGAATTATTGAACTTGATTTTCATGTACTGACCATGTTATTGTTAAGTGAAATAAGCAAGCTACAGAAAACATCAATGGTGATGAAGACTTCCGGGCTGCCTGTGACTTGTCTCCAGGCCATGGTAGAAACCTGTGATTTTCTTTTTTCTTTTCTTTTGTTTTTTTTTTGAAAAAGATTTATTTATTTATGCACACA